ATAAATTTACCAAAAAATGACTCTGGATGGCAAACGGCTAATGATTATTTTAAATGTGCGCTCCAGTTTATTCATCCAATCGCAATGCGAGACGTAAGCTCAAAAATCAAGCTTTTAAACGACGTTATATATAACTATTGTGCAGATAACTTTGGACATAACCAAACGGTACCTGACAAAAGTATGGTTGGTAAATATAAAGATTATACTGTAAAGGAGTTAAAGAAAGCTTTGCAAAATTTAAAATCCAACAAAGGTGACCTTAGTGAAATTAAATACGTCTCCCGCACATTGCGTGATAATCTTCGTAATAACAACAACGATGGGCTAACCTCTGACAGCAATGAGTCATTCAATCACGACAATTATATCGGACGGAACTTTTGGGGTTATATTAAAAACGTTATCAATAAGAAGGACTCAATATTACCATCATTTAACGTGACAGATTGCTTTACTTATTTTCTAAATCTCTGGCTAAAATTAATGCAAATAGACTGTTTAACATTCCCAGCTGGATTCCAAAGTTATCTGATCCCGAAGTTCAATTCAACCTTGACCCTCCCCCCCGACTTACCAACAAATTACTAATGTGATACGTAAAATAAAATCGTCTGGCTCCCCTTGCCCACTTGATCAGCTTTCGATAATATGTTTTAAGCGATGTCCTTATCTGAGAACTTATCTCAGTGAACTAATTCAAGAAATTTGGCTATCTGGAACTGTCCCAAATGAATGGAAAAAAGCCTGTACTATATTAATACACAAGAAAGGCAACACTCACTGATGATCCATCAAATTTCCGTCCCATAACACTTGAGTCCATACCATTAAATGTATTTACATCTTGTCTTCGAAACGCAATATATTCCTTCCTCGCATCCAATAACTTTATCGAACACGGCATACAAAAGGGCTTCACCCCTAACCTATCTGGCACTCTAGAACACACTGCGCAAATGGCTGACATCATTAACAAAGGCCGCATCAGACAACGCTCTGTTGTCATCACCCTACTTGATCTGAAGAATGCTTTTGGCGAAGTCCACCACAATCTCATCCAATCAGTACTCGACTACCACCACATCCCAGAACACATAAAATTCGTTATAAAAAGTTTATACACTGATTTCCAAACCTCAATAATTATCTCCGAATTCCGCGCCCCTTTTATATCTGTTGGCCGTGGCGTATTGCAAGGAGATTGCCTCAGTCCTCTTCTTTCCAATATGTGTTTTAATACTTTCATCCAACATATAAAAGCCGAAAAGTACCGCCAGTTTGGCTTGTCCATCAAGCTATTAAATCCTATCCACTTGTTCCAGTTCGCTGATGACGCAGCCGTAATCGCTGGCCAAGAATCTGAAAACCAGCATCTCTTAAATCGTTTTTCCATCTGGTGCCAATGGTCCAATATGATTATCAGAGTCGATAAATGTAGTACCTTTGGCATCAAGAAAGCCATCACAAAATCAGTCCAATATTTGCCGAAACTCCTCATCAACAATAATATGATACCAACAATAAAGATTGGAGGAGCATTTCAATATTTAGGACTTTACTTTGATTTTAAAATGTCGAATAATAACCATAACACTGAACTAACCACTCTCGTTAATGAACCAATGACTGATATTGACTCGAAGCCACTCCATCCTAGAAATAAGCTTCTCGTGTACAGTCGTTATGTCTTATCCAAATTATCCTGGCATTTCACCATCGCAACACTTTCTAAAACATGGGTTATTTAAAATATTGATCCCGTAGTCAACCAATACATCCGTAAATGGCTTGAAATTCCAATCTCAGGAACACTAAGTACTGTTTTTCTAACTTGTAACAAATTTGGTCAAAGTATTTATCCTCCATCGGTGAAATTTATCCAATGCTAAACAGTTCTTCGAAAAGCTTTAAAACTTTCTCCTAATCAATCAATTAACGAACAGTGGAAATCTACTAATACTCATACTAATATCCAATACGACTTTTATAACTCAACCAAAGAAGTGCTTAAAGATTTTCGCTCTGAACATGATGATAAACTCAAAAACCAATTAACTTGTCAGGGATTCTTTTTCTCTAATTTAACAAAGTTGTCGCATCTTAACAAAGTGTGGTCTACTGCTCAATCAAAACTTCCGAAAAACATTTATAACTTTACTATACGCTATATCAATAACTCTCTTCCGACACGTAAGAACCTTAACAGATGGGGATTGTCTTCAAGTTCAGAATGCTCCTTTTGTCTCGGCCCAGAATCATTATTGCACGTGGTCGCTGGATGTCAGTGTCATCTCGATCGATTTACGAGAAGGCACAATTCAATCCTGAACTTTCTTGCCAATACCTTGCAAATTGTGAACGGTTCTGCCCTCTACGCTGATGTGCCCGGATTCAAAAGTCCGTCAATAATAACTGGTGATACGTATCGGCCGGATTTGTTGCTATCATTATCAAATGGCTCTTTCCACGTCGTCGAGCTCACTGTTGGCTATGAGACAAACCTCGAGAACAACGTTAAACGGAAAAAATCCAAATATAGAGAACTAGTAAGACAGCTAGATGAAAATTTTAACGAAGTAAACTTTGTTAATCTTTCCATGAGCTCCCTAGGTATTTTTGCGCAAGAATGCTCTACATTCTTAGAAATGCTAGGAAATGTTGGTCTCGACATAAACTACCAAACGTACTGTGTTAGGAAAATGATGATTATTGCCATTCGAAGTACTTATTACATTTTCTGCTGTCGAAATAAGGAATGGGAAAGTCCGGACTTGTTAACTATTTGAAATATTTGATTGTCTTGTATATTTATATATTTTCATGTATTCAGTTTTGTCATTATTATTAGTTCATAGTTGTGATTCAAATAGCCAATTGTAAGTTACCTTAATTAGTGAGATTTACAATTGTATATATAAATATAGTATATAACAAAATTATTAAATAAAGTTTCAGTGAGATTTACAATTGTATATATAAATATAGTATATAACAAAATTATTAAATAAAGTTTCCATTGTTATTATTATTATTATTATTATTATTATTATTATTATTATTATTATTATTATTATTATTATTATTATTATTCAATAAAGTATTCCCGGAGAGGGTTATTATTATTATTATTATTATTATTATTATTCAATAAAGTATTCCCGGAGAGGGTTTCTCAATACCTATTTTCAGAACGAATAGTTATATTAAAATTAGAATTCCCAATTATAGCGTTTATTTAAAATCTGTTAGTCAATGAGATCCTATTTGTCTATGAGATCACCCAATTATAGCGTTTATTTAAAATCTGTTAGTCAATGAGATCCTATTTGTCTATGAGATCATTTATTTAAAATATATTTGTCTATTAAAGTCTATTTGTCTATTATTTAAAATTTATTTGTCTATTGAAGTCTATTTGGCTATGGAGTCTGTTTATCTATGAGTCTATTTGTCTATTAAAGATTTAAAATTTATTTGTCTATTGAAGTCTATTTGGCTATGAGTCTGTTTATCTATGAGTCTATTTGTCTATTAAAGTCTATTTGTCTATTAAAATCTATTTGTCTATTAAAGTATATTTGTCTATTATTTAAAATTTATTTGTCTATTGAAGTCTATTTGGCTATGAGTCTGTTTGTCTATGAGTCTATTTGTCTATTAAAGTCTATTTGTCTATTAAAATCTATTTGTCTAATAAAGTCTATTTGTCTATTATTTAAAATTTATTTGTCTATTAAAGTCTATTTGTCTATGAGATCATTTATTTGAAATCCATTAAATCTATAATATCAGAAAATGTAATTATATGTTGTCTAGCATCTTCTGCTTTAACTCATTTTAAAACTTTTCCAATGTAAACTTTTTAAGGTCTTCATCCAAGTCATTCCATAACTTCACCGCTATGTAATAAAAGGTTATTTGTCCTGAAACTGATTTGTGTTGAGGGATGTGTAGCGCTTTATTATTCCCTGTATTTAGATCGTGAATTGTATTTCTTTTTATAAATAATTTGGGCAGGTAAGATGGTGCTAATCGGTTCATACATTTGTATGTTATTAGTGTATCTCTATATTTTAAGTGTTCCTGTACATGACGCCAGCGAATTTCCCGTAGTGCTGGTGTTACATGAGCATATCTTCCCGTATTTGTCAATATCCTACAAGCAAACTTCTGTACTGCTTTCAATTTCTTTATATTTGTTGCAGAAGTGCTTGACCATACTGTGGAGCAATAATAAAGTTTGCTCGTTACTAAGGCGTTGATAATTAAGGTTACAGGACACCCTTTTTTGCGTTTTGCGGAAAATCGCCACTGCGCGCTCAATATCAGTCCGATTTTCATCAAATTTTCACCAAATGTTCTCCAATGCATGCAAAATATGGTAAAGTTGTAAAATTAACAAACAATAAAATAATGTAAGAGTTATTCAGGAAAACCTTAAATCGCGGTGCCTTTACGCTTTTGAGTTGTGCTCCTGCTGGTTTTAAGTTATATTTATGAAAATATCATTTTTATACAGTAAAATAGTTGTTCTAAAAAATTGTGTTCGGAAATTTTTGTTTATTTCGTCATTCCGCTGATATGGCGATTTTTTGACGACTGCAATATATTTCTGAATTGTTTGAGTGAATTGCTCTTTATTTTTAAAATATTCAAATTTAAATAAAAGCCGAACACAGTTTTGAAACTGACGTATTTAGCTATGTCCTGTGAAAATTTGAGAAAAATTGGTTAAAACCCGCAGGAGCATAACTCGTTTGAAAATCAGTAATTATCGTAAAATTTTTCGTGAGAAAATTGAATTTGAATATTACATTTTCAATGTTTTTCTTATTGCAGTGAAATGTATTTTACTAAATAACTCTGCGAGTTTTCAACATTTTTCGTTCAAACTTGGTCAGATAGTAGAACTAGTCTAATGCTTTCATTGAAACCAATAAAGAAATTTTAGGCAAAATTAACACTCAAAGGTGTTCTGTAACCTTAAGCGAAAACTATCCCTTATCAAAGCTATCCTTTAGTCTGTTTATCTGACACAGCTTGGCCATACAAGATGATACAACATTTTTGATATGGTAATCGTATGTCAGATAACTGTCTAGGGTTAATTCCAGGTCTTTGGCATTTGTGACTGGTGTAATCTCTTCTCCAAAAAAAGTAATTGTCGTCTCCTCAAGGAGCTTACCGAGCATTTGACGAGTTCCTATCAAGAGTAACTTTGTCTTCTCGGGGTTTATCAACAGTTTGTTTTCGAAAAACCAAGTTGCTGCCAATTTGAGGTCCTCTTCCATCTTTGTTTTTGCACTAGCAATATCTTCAATTGGAAATGACATAAATATCTTAGAATCGTCGACGAATGATTCCAACTCAGATGCTTGTGGTACTCTTGGAGGGTCATTTATATAGACGCAGAACAATAGCGGTGACAATGTTGCTCCCTGAGGCACTCCGTGGGTGATTGGTAAAACTTCGGATACCGAGGAGCCAATGCGAACGAACTGCTTTCTATCTGTAATGCAGTTTTCAAACCATTTAAGGGCTTCACCTGAAACCCCAATATTGTATGGGCGTCCAAAAGGGACAAAATTATGAACACACACACACACATACACATACACACACACACACACACAATTAAGTCCAATGCTTGTGAACACTATGAAAGCTCACACATGTAATACGAAACGCTCGCAAAAGACATTCGAACCACGCGCAAATAAGCCGAACCACTCACACACAAGTCGAAATGTCACACACGCAATACGAACCTCTCACACACAAGTCGACTTGAAATGTCACACACAAAAAAGTCGAACTTTCTTCGTGGGGGGTTCGGCAAATTAGCATGTTAATTTATTTACGACGAAAACGTTTGCATATATTTCCGCACTTTGTTTACCGCGGGAGAATAGAATGTTGCGATTTCCAGCGTTTTAACTACAAAGCACTCTTTGGGCTAACGTGTTTGGCTTAGGATGGAAGAGGATAACTTGCATGTGACGGAAGATAGAATTCAGTCGTTGGTCCGGGGGATAGTTAGCCTGCTCACAGGCTCTATATAGCCTGCGACTTTTATTGATATTTTTTCAATACGCCCCCCTTTGAGATAATTGAATATCCGGTAAATAGTAGCCAATCAAAGTAAGTTTTGTTAATTAGATTACCAGAGGTTATTAACAACAACAAACAGTTTCTCGCGCAATTTTACGCCTGTATCTTTCACTAGGATTCAAGGTCTAAACTTTAATCTAAAATAATTCATGGTCGTTTTTTCCCTAAAGTGTTCTAATATTTAAAACATAGTCCCGTTTGTATATTGCTGTCTTGTTCGTACATTGCCGTTTAAATTATGTAACTATACTACAGAGACGTAAAATTTTACTCTCTATTAGTTAATGTATTTTATAGATTTATATCCAAAATATAAATAACTGTAACTAAATATGTAAAATTTTATTCTCTATTAGTTAATGTATTTTATACATTTATATCCAAAATATAACTGTAAGATTTAAGGAAACGTATTTAGGATTTGCCGAACAAACACTATTTATTAAAAGTGTCGAACAATAGCAGGCTAAAAACAACATTAATCATTATTGCGTGAAGTCATTTGCTCAATAATACAATTACTCAATAGACAATAGACAATTTGAAAACCCGTGGCCGCGGCATCGATTCTGCCGTGTTTAATAACTACATTTTTTTTGTAAAAAGCTCTTGTTGTAATAATATATGTCACTAGTTGAGACTCCCAAAAAGAAAGTCTCAAAGAGAGAGCCGACTTCGGTCAAAGAACACGCAAACGACTATTGCAAAATTTCCAGGTGTAAATTCAAATTGGCCAGGTGTTCTAAGAACGACTTTCCTCGACGTCGTCTGTTTTAATAATTTGCGCATTGTATTGGCTTATTCAAGACCAGATTGTTGAGGCAGAAAGCCTTGGGTTGACAGGGAAGTAATTCGGAGAAATGTTCGGAGGCATTTGACAATCAACTGCTTTGTACTAGCTGATTCACTGCCTGTGTAACGAACGTTTCGCTGGGCTAAGTTGTTCAACGTTTGAAAACACACACAAAAGTCTCGAAGATTTCTGCCGCAAGTGATGCAAACGCGGTTAGATAAATTGTCAGCCCGAACTAGACTTATTTTACTCTCTCTGCAAAGATCAGCAAGGCATATGTCGAAGTTTTCCCTTGTACTTCTTTGAAAAAGGTTTATAGCTGACGAAGACAAAGTATTGGTATATTAAACTTTTATTAAATCCCGTTGGGAGTACAGTTAATATTTGCTAACCTTCGCCCATCCTTCAACGTTAATTTAAATTGAAAGTTTCTCAAATACATTCAGTTACTTCTTCGAAGAGATAAACAAAGTCATGGTTTTATACGCCACTGACTGAATACCAGCTTTAAAATTACATTGCGAAATGTCGGACGCTCCGTACGCATAAATCGACTTTTTACTAATAAAGGTCGCAGGCCGTTCCTCCCAGCCTCTGCCCGACAACGGCCTGCGAGCAGGCTAGGGGATAGTTGACGAATTATTTGTCCCAGATAATAGGCCCAGGCAAGATCAGCAAAATGGTGCAAATGAAGCTTGCCGAGAACTAGAGCTGATAACGGGAAACGTTGACGCCGAGAAACAGTGTAAATGGTCTTGTTGTTACTTCCTCGACTTCATGTAGTCTTTGCAGTTCGACTTTATATTCACCCATTGGAGTAAGCAGGCAAAACCATCCTTCAGGAAATATTCGTTCTTTTAAGAAGAGGTTTAAGCCGTATTGGCGTGATTAACAATACTTGCACGGCGTCGAGTATTAATACAAGACCGCCGGACCACGTTGTCTCGTTGGTCCAGGACCAGATCTTCGTTGCAAGCCATAGTTTAAATTGCTCTTTTGTTCTATTTCCTTGTACTAGGATGCTTGTATTGAACTTGAACTCGTACACGAAGTCAATGAAGTAATAACAGGACCATTTACACTGTTTCACGGTGTCGACGCGATGGCGAGTTGGCATGAATGGCATTGTTGTTTAGCTCTACGGGGTGTCCCAAAAAAAAGTACTCCTGTTTGATTCGTAATAACTTCTAAACAAGTAAAGCTTTCAAAGTGAAATAACTTGCATCAAATAGAGAAAGGACTAACTTAGATATTAATATATTACAGTTGTATTTCACTTAAAAATTCACAAAGATATTAATCTTTAAAATCGGGAGCATATTTCTGGATGTGTCTGAAATATGCAAAAAACGGCGTATCAAATATTAATCAAGATTTGCCCGACTGAAACATGCACTATTACCAGTAAATAAATGACATGCACTTGACAAATTGTTTATTATGAAACAAAGTGTTATTATATCTAAAAAATACAAGCAAGATTTATTCGTCCGAAATTCGCGTATGTTCCTAGCACGAATACGTTTCCTTATTTCATGAGACCACTGCATCGCGAAGGATAGTCATGGATCGTTCGTAGTTCTGAATTAGGACATGCTGTCACAATGGAATTGTGAAGCTCTTCTAACTTCTGCAACGTTCTGAAATCTTGTTAAGAACACCCAAACTCTTTTGCCTTTTCCTAATCTTGGCAAGTTCAGAGTAAACTGAGAATTATATGAAACACAATCAAACCATATAACTCCATAAGACATAACAATTAAGCAACTCCCCAGAGACATGCAACATTTTTGGAACAAAACGTAACAAAATAGTAGCGTTGATACGGTGATGTGTATTTGCAAAAAGCAACATTATTTCCTTCAATAAAAGAATATTCATCCTGCTCTAACCGAGAAATAATCAACTCAGTCTGTTTGAACCCATTAAAAACATAAAAAAATTAGGCTATTTAAGAAAAATTTAATCGCCTGCCTTCCATGGTCAGTGTTTTATGTACTTTTAAGTTTGTAAAGACCTAATATTAAATACTTGCATAATTTCGAACGTTCATAGTTCAGGAAACAATGAGCTATAAGACTTACATGTAAGATGTCTAATCTACGCTATATCCCTTACAAACCCTAACGATAATTCGCCGAAATACAAGTTAGCCTGATATGTCATTAAGCAAACAAACGCTGGAGTTAATATTTGATATGCCGATTTTCGCTAATTTTAGACACATCCCAAAATATGCTCCCGATTTTGAACATTAATATCTCCGTGAATTTTTAAGTAAAATACAACTGTAATATATGAAAATCTAAGTTAGCCCTTCCTCTATTTAATGCAAGTTATTTCTCTTTAAAATTTTTATTTGTTTAGAAGTTATTACGAATCAAACAGGAGTACTTTTTTTGGGACACCCGGTAGTTCTCGGCAAGCAAAATCGATTTTTTTTTCATGATCATCTTCAGTGGCACCAAATTACTGATCTTGCCTACTATCCCCCGGACCAACGCCTGAATTATATCTTCCGTCACAGGCAAGTTATCCTATTCCATGCAGCTGTATGCGATGTAAAGTATCCTTGTTCAAGCCAAACACGTGAGCCAAAAGAGTGCTTTGTAGTTAAAACGCTGGAAATCGCAACATTCTATTCTCCCGCGGTAAACAAAGTGCGGAAATATATGCAAACGTTTTCGTTGTAAATAAATTAACATGCTAATTTGCCGAACCCCCCCACGAAGAAAGTTCGACTTTTATGCAAACGTTTTCGTTGTAAATAAATTAACATGCTAATTTGCCGAACCCCCCCACGAAGAAAGTTCGACTTTTTTGTGTATGACATTTCGACTTGAATGTGAGAGGTTCGTATTGTGTGTGTGACATTTCGACTTGTGCGTGAGAGGTTCGTATTGTGTGTGTGACATTTCGACTTGTGCGTGAGAGGTTCGGCTTATTTGCGAATCCTTATTCAAGCCAAACACGTGAGTCAAAAGGGTGCTTTGTAGTTAAAACACTCGAAATCGCAACATTCTATTCTCTCGCCGTAAACAAAGTACGGAAATATATGCAAATTTTTTCGTCCTAAATAAATTAAATTAACATGCTAATTTGCCAAACCCCCCACGAAGAAAGTTCGACTTTTTTGTGTGTGACATTTCAAGTCGACTTGTGTGTGGGAGGTTCGTATTGTGTGTGTGACATTTCGACTAGTGTGTGAGAGGTTCAACTTATTTTCGCGTGGTTCGAATGTCTTTTGTGAGCGTTTCGTATTACATGTGTGAGCTTTCATAGTGTTTACAAGCATTGGACTTAATTGTGTGTGTGTTCATAATTTTGTCCCTTTTGGACGCCCATAAAATTGTTTAGCTTGTTTAACAGGATTGAATGGTCCACGCTGTCAAACGCTTTTGAGAGGTCCAAAAGGACTAGAGCAGTAAGCTTTTTGTTTTTCCATCGATTTTAGCAAAAAATCATTGACTAATATACTGCGTGTTTCGGTTGAATAATACTTTTTGTTTCCACTTTGTTGGGAGGATAGGCGGTCAGTGCGGATAAGAAAATCGCTAAATTGATTTAGGGCAACTTTTTCGCAGATCTTTGATAGTACTTTAAGCATTGAAAGTGGGCGGTTATTTGCAGCAACTTCATGATCACCTTCCTTTAAGAGTGGTATAATTTCTGCTATTTTCCAGGACTCAGGGAACGCCGAGGTGGTAAATGAGTTATTAATGTTGTCTGTCAATGGGCCGAGTATGACCGGAAGACAATCCTTAATAATCCGCATGCTGATTTTGTCTGGTCCTGGAGATTTATTCGACGGCATTGTTTATTTATTTATTTATTTATTAACTTCAGCCGTCAACAGAAATATAAACATATGCAAACAGGAAGACGCACGGGACGAAAAGACAGATTTACGCACGCGTAAAGTAAATGGCAAAGTTGTTGCAAAAATTAAATTTACCAAATTTGCTTAACTTTGCCTACTTGCAATTATGAAAATTACCAATACCTTTACACCCGCTGTTTAAGAGCCATTGCCGTGATCGCAATATGTAAAGATGTTGTAAAATCATGCGTAAAGGTAAATTTTGCAAAACTTTGCTCGCTTGTAAATTTATTGCAAAGACCAACTTTGCAAATGACTTTACGCTATGAAACGTTGCTAGCAGATTTTAACTTTGCCCAAATTTGCACGTTTGCAAATTTAATGAAAAGTTGAACTTTGCAAAAAGTATACAAATAACTTTGCACGCTTGGAATACAAGAACTTTACATGGTGTTTTGCAGGCGGGGGAAATGGTATGCAATTACTGATTTTGATTAGATTTGCTCAGTTGCAAATTTAATACAAAAACTAGCTTTGCTTATAATCTGGAATCACTTTGTCTTTGCAAAAGTGGCATAAACGAACTTTTCATTGATTTTGCACCGGGGAGGAAGGTTTGCGCTATAAAAGACTACGGAATCTCAAACAGAAATTGAATACATGTATTTTGAATACTTTTCAATACAATATATCATGAATACAATACAATATTATGTAGCGGTATAACACTAGTACAGTTTAGGACTAAGAACCCCCTAAATTGTACATATAATATTAATAATATTACTTAATATAACATGTATAAAGACTGATTAACTACATATAGTGCAGTTCAGATCTGCATATAGTGCCGTTCAGATCTTCAATAAAAGCTACTTATAATCTGCATATAGTGCAGTTCAGATCTTCAATAAAAGAAGCGAGATAAAACTTATAACAGATTAGCAGGAAGTATTGCATAAAAACGGCTCATATCACGCATTTGGCTCAGACTGTCTATAATATGTCTAGATTTATCGGTGACATTGTAACTTTTCAGCGTCTTAGATTTTCCTTACAGTTACAGTCTTACTGTAAGCCCGCCGCAAATAAATAAAAGAAATCAGCTTATATTTATATTCAGTCTCGACGAAATGTAAATCATTTGAAATCAAGCCCTTATTTGCGTTTTAATGACTCACTACGAGTTGCATGTCTCAAAAAAAATAATTAAAAATTATTCGCCGAAGGCGAGGTGATTATCGGTGAATATAATTGTTCTAGTATAATTTGATAGGTGATTGTTTAGAAAAAATTAAAAAAAATACACATTTCTTCGTCATTTAATTGACAAAACTTTGAAAATGGCGTTATAATCACCTCATGCAACGGCAACCAATCAGCGTGGAGAATTTTCAATTATCACCTATATATGTCATTATTCTAATAACAAATTATTGGATGATTCATTATTCTAATAACAAATTATTGGATGATGCCTCAACGTTATCCTTCGAAGCTGTGGCGGATAACTTTTACTGCATGAGGTCTGACAGTAGGCGAAAGACTAATTTGATAATGTCACGAAGATATATATAGGCATGCATGCAAGCAAGCAAATATTGAAACAAATATTTAGATAAGCACTTCGCTAATTCTGCCGAGGTTTTTATTCCGGTTTATTTTTCTCTTTGATGTATATTCATCAAATACCTTGAAACTTGAAAATAAAAATTTCCTTTGATTTGACCATGGGATCGGCCAATTCATCTATATAGCGTATCTGTTGGTGCTAAGCCTATAATTAGTACAATTACATAGGTGATTTTTGAAAATTCTCTACACTGATTGGTTGCCGTTGAGGTGATTATAACGCGATAATCAGCTAAGCGATTTTCGAAATGGCGGCCGAAGCAGTTTTGTCAATTAAATGACGAAGAAATGTGTATTTTTTAATTTTTTCCAAATAATCACCTATACGAAATCACATACTAAAACAACTATTGTTGGTTATAATCAGGCTTGGTTATTATTGTGAATAAAAACCTCGACTATTTCGTCTCGGTTTTTATTCACTCCTCGCCTTCGGCGAATATAATTGTTAATTATAAGGCGAATTATAATGATAATCACCTCGCCTTCGGCGAATATAATTGTTAATTATAAGGCTAATTATAAGGCATTCTAATTCGAACAAGACTGATGATTTAAAAAAGTTTGCTTTTTGGCCGAGAAGGTAAACACGCGCCGTAGTTTTTGCATCATGAAAAACAAATAACCGGGTTTTTCCACCAATAAAATGCACGTCCAATCCTTTACATATATATTAGCTTTAGAACTTAGAAAGTAATATTTAAATATATATTAGCTTTAGAACTTAGAAAGTATAGAAACATATAATTATGGAGGATAACTTCGTTTTGAAATACTACTATTGTCAGAATATAATAATAATAGTCAGAATATTAATAGCAGTTTGATATATTAAATTAAATTAAATAGTGGTTTGTGTATAAATAGCAGTTAATAATTTTTCATAAATTTCATAAAATCCTGTAAAATCCATAAAAAGCATTTTTTTTCTCGCGATTTGTAGCTATTTCGTGTATCAATGAAATGTATTCTTTTGTGCATGTTATATAAAGTTTAGTTAGGCTATTCTAACTGAAATCTTTTCTTCTCATCAGCTTCATTGTTACGTCACTTTAGTTGTGGGTGTAAGTTGGCAAGACACAAGAGCATTTAGAAACGTATTAGACAAGTAACGTAACAATGAACCTGATGAGAAGAAAATATTCCAATTAGCGTAGCCAAACTGCATAAACTACACAAAAAATGAATTGCACAGAAGCATACATTGATACATGAAATTGAAATCGCGAGAAGAAAGACTGATTTTACTGTCCTAGCTAGGCTACGCATGTCTACAGAATTTTATGAAATTCATGAAATGAAAACATGCATTTATATTCTGACTATTATATATAATAGCCAGAATATAAATGCAGTTGTCTAACCTCATATTTGCTCTTTTCATGTAAAAGAGTAGCTATATAGTATTATTCCTAATATATATATATATATATATATATATATATATATATATATATATATATATATATATATATATATATATATATATATATATATATATATATATATATATATATATATATATATATATATATATATATATTGATATCGGACGTGCATTTTATTAGTATAAAAAACGGCTCATTATAATTTTGTTTTCCATGAAAAAAAAACGGCGCATGCATGCAGGTGTTTAATTGTTTGGACTACGGCGCGTGTTTATTGATGGATCTTTTCGGCCATCGTATACTTGTGAGTGTTCGAAGATATGCATTAAGTCCCGCGGCACGTGTGCGGTGGCGTTAAGATATAGCCACTTTATTCACGCGTGTCATTAATTTTCTCCGAATATACTCATCTCCTGCATGAATAATTTCAAGCACGATTATTAATGCTTCTCCCAAGACCAGACTCAGCTAGTGTACATGCATTTACGCCAGTGAACTCTGTGTAAACATAGAAAACGCATGTTTACACAGAGTTCACTGGTGTTCGTGCGTGGAAGCTGACAAGTTGCAAGGTAACGTGGATACGCATTTTGTAATAATACTCGTGCCTGAAATAGTTCAACAGGTTTAATTTTTATAGGAAATGGTAAGCGCGCGGTAATACTAAGTGACTCTCTAAACGTAACCGCACGCACTGGGGGATCTTGCAGCTTAGGCCTACACCGTGCAACTGCTCACCCGGCTATAGGCTAAGTAGTTTGCTCAATAGTTTCGGCCGTATATTGTATAATTCGTATGCGTTCGGTATAATAATACTACAATACTTTAAAGTCTAAAGCCCTTGAAAACACGCACTGCTACCACCCATTCTTCGTCGTTGCGGTTCGTCTTCGATTTTTTCTGACGACATTGATTGTCGGCCTTTTCGCGTTCCGCCCACGTTGAACTAATATTTTGTCCATGCAGCGCAGATTTCCTGTACGTCTGAGTTTCTACAAGAAAAGGTATACGTACGTTATATAAAATTATATTCACATTGTAACGGGCGGTTGTATAACGTGCGGTTGTAACGTGCATTGTAACGTGCATTGTAACGTGCATTGTAATGTCATAATGGCCCGCTACTGTATTTGATCTTTGCCTTTGGTCCACTAAAATAAATTAATCTCTAATAATAATAGAATTGGTTATGTATATAATTCAGCGTGGTAATTCAAAATAAGGAATATGGTACGGACTGGGGTCGGCTATTTTGCGAGCTGCGAGTTGCGAGCTGCGAGTTGCGAGTCGCTAGCCTCGCTTTGAATTAGGCTTTGAAAGTATATTAATTTAATATGGACGACATGGAAGGCGAAGGGTTTTTCATCGAAGGGTTTTTTGTTTCATAAATATTAATGACCTTCGAAGTTAAGGTCCCTGTAACTAAATTGGTTAATTTCAAAACGTTTTCAGTGCACTTTAAGCCGGTTTTCCACTTCAACCGTATCGTAGCGAAGCGTATTTCTTTGTTTCCTGACCACTAGAGTGGAAATAACGACTTCGACACAAAAGAAAATGCTACGATACGGACGAGATGATAATCGGCCTTTACTTGTTTGTTTACTTTGTTAGATCCATCGATAGGTATGTTCAAGAATTAAAATAATTATATTGAAAATAAAAGTGCAAGTTCGCTTATATTTGCCGTTTCTGTGTTTAATTAAATCTAGTGGTTATCCAGACCATTTTGTGCTTTCTAATCTTAAAATGGTTATTTAATTTTATTAGTAAGTATGACCAGACACCGACTCAGTTTGTTTATATATACTGAACGCTGGGAACCCTATAAAACTCAAGTCCTTTTCATCGGAAGTAAAATTTATTTTATACAATTTATACATAGACATACATATACATACATAAACTTTATCTAAACACGGGAAAAACCATCAGTATATCAAAACGATTGCTATTTACAAGTTTGTAAGTATAAAAATAAATGCAATGAATGTTTATTTCAAAAGCTGAAAATTGGCGCCAAATTGAGACACAGCTAAAATAACATCCGCCAGGATGCCATACAGTTTTCAATTTGAATTTTTAGTGTAAACCACAGGTGTAAACACCTCGTTCGGTGCTTCAAAGCTAGGTTAGTGTTAACCCTGGGTTAAAATTAAACCCGATGTTATTAGAAATTAACAATATACTCGTAACTCGCAGCTCGCAGCTCGCAACTCGCAACTCGCAGTTTAGATAATCTCGTACGGACTACGGGCACAAGAATGGCCTATGCCGGCTATGGTTATACATGCATGTGCCTGTGGCAATGAACAAATTTGTACGTGACGTTATCTACTGTACAAAACATAACTATTTTTTGAGCGCACGCTTCTTTAAAACTTTTGAGAATTAGGAGAATTGAGATTTGAGAATAGATTTAGAACCTTTAAATAAAAATAATATTGTATCAAAATTCTTGAATCTCGAATTCATTAAGTCTTGCCGTGAATTAAATTCGTCTCATTTAAATTCGACGATAATGCGACGTATGAAACATGCCTAATTCTTCTCTTTGTCGAATTGCAAAACATCAAACAAAAATTGTGAGATATTGTCCAAAGACACACGCAGGCACACGCTTCAGTTCCGAGCAAGTATTTTCGGGGTTTTGTATTTTTATTCTCAATAAAAACTTTAGCCAGGGACGCTGGAACTGGGGGGGCGGCGGGGGGGGGGGCAGGAAGGGCAGCTGCCCTCGTTGCCCTTTACCAGGAAGGGCAATTAAGGGGGGCAAAATTAAGGTGCCCTTTCAATTTAAAGGATTGCCTTGGCGAAATAGCGAATTGTCAGAAATGTTGGTGCAATTCTTTTATGCAGTCAATGAGCTTCAAGAATAGCACAATCGCCCGGCGGAGAACCCTCTCACACCCCTATCATCCAATAAATAGAAAACATGATTAGGCGAAGTTCAATTTCCAATGTATTGCAAACATCTCTTAGTATATACATGGACAATAAAATACATGGATAGGAAACTAGCTGACGTGACCTGATGTTTTAATGGGATGATGGCGTTGAAACCTAGTTGCAAACCAAATTCTCAAAAATATAGCTAAACATTTTAGTCAAAGAGCAAATAAATATAACTACGCCATTCTACGATGAAATCTCTAAGTATTCCCAGTCAATTTTAGCAAATATTTCAAGCACTAAACAGTGAAAAATGCATCGCAAATTTTGCTAAAATAGGCCAATTTCGTAGCTACAAATGTAAAAAAATACAAAACAAAGACGAAAAACATTTACCCTGAATACTTTGTCGTGGCTTAGGCATGTTTTTAAAACAATTAGACCAGTTTATGCTTCAATATTATTACTCTTTTAAAGCGGAAAATATAGCGAAACAACAAAAATGCTGAGAACTTTGGCAATACGCGTGACGTCACAGATTGCAACTAGGTTTAGACTGTGACGTCAGCAAGTTTCCTATCCAGTTATTTTACAATCCATGGTATATATAAATTCAAAAGTGGCCTTTCACGAAAATTTGCCCCCCTTGCCGTCACATCGTTCCGGCGTCCCTGACTTTAGCGATATCTTGCTCTGCAAATACATAAAATTTGGTCGGCTGAGATTGAATTTGATTGTATATATTTGTTAATTCACATCGCATGCATTAAGTGTTCATTCGCTATGACGTCATTATGTGAAAGATCTAAAAATTCGGCGCATGAATGGGGTGACGTCTGAATTGGGAATTAAGGTTTTCGAATACTCATAGCTTGGTGTCGTATAATCTTATAAAAGGATTGCAACCAATCTTTTGGGACTTTAAATATACAATAAAACTGTGGTTATTTTGATGCCAAATTCAATGAAAGATATAATGATGGAATGTACCACAAACATGCATGGCCGCCGTGACATAACCGGTTGCATGTTCACCTGTAAGTATTGATATAGTAGGGAATCTCATACAGTTTATTATACTTTATAATCGCATTTTCAGTAAGCTTAGATATACGGGACGCTGCGACCGATATTATACTATGAGAATTTATTTGAGGAATTCCGCTGCGCATCTTAGTGTTCAGTTTTGTTGAGTTATGGATGTAAAAAGTATAAAAACGTACCGCTAATAAGAATGACATGTACACCTTCTGTACTTGTAAGCTGTAATCCAAATGTTTACTAGATTCCTTTACTAGATTCCTTTACTACCACGACTGGACAACGGAAATGCTGTAAAAATATCATTATAGTCAGATAATTATAATTTCAGTTATATTCTCTCCTAACATTAAAAGGGAAACGGTCAATAAAGATATACATTTTTTCACTACGAGCAACGGAGCAGGCATAGCTAATTATGCATTATTCAGTATGTTGCTATACATCCCTTGAGTG